ATGGTTGTACACACCTGTAATCCCCGCACCAGGAGGTTGAGGCAGGAAGACTGCCGTAAGTGCAAGGCCAGTCTGAACTACATACTGAGACCCTGTCTCAGAAAACCATGCAAAGTGATTAAGTAACTGAAAAGGAGGTTAGACTTGCCCTGTCTTTACAGCTATATTTGGTATTGGAACAGATGAGTACATTTTATGCAGCCCTCATGAAAACAAAATGTGACTTAAAAAAAAATTTTTTTTTGAGACAGGGTCTCACTATGTAGCCCAGGCTGGCCTTGACCTCACAGTGATCCTCCTGCCTCAGCCTCCCCTGTGCTGGGATGAGAGATGTGCCCCACTACACCCCACCATGTTTCTCCAGTAGTTTGCTGCTGAGATGGAAACATGAACAGGAAAGTCGCTTCCTGGTGCCAGTTCTGCTGCCCTTCCACCTTCTTTCTCCCACCCTCCACCCCCACTCCCCAGAACTGGGGACTGAACTCAGGACCTTGTGCTGGCCAGACAGGCATGACACCACTGAGCTAATTCCTGGCCTTTACCTTGTTTCCTATACAAACCTCCCTCCGGGCCTCCTGGCCCCTCCCAGACTGCCCCATACAGTCCTTGCCTCTGCCCCCTCCAGTGATGGTGGTGCCATTGTCACCTCTGCCTCCCTGAGTCCTGCACTAGGGAACCAAGTTGGCTGCTCCCAAGACAGGGCCTCAAAGCCAGGCCTTTCCCCATCACCACCAGGCCTTGGCCCACTGCAGGTCCCACAGGGAGTGGCCAGGTATTGGTTCTAGTCCTGCCCTGTGAGGAGTGGGGATCCATTGTCCACACAGGGGAGGTGACGGGTTCAGCCTCCTGCTCTCCCTCCTGGCTCTTCTCCAGGTCCAGCCCTGCTGTGGGTGCCTCCTACCTGGAGGGGGTTGGGGACATGAGGCAGTGCTGGACAAGCTGGGACTCTGGTACTGGGGAGCCACGAGAGGCCCTGAGGGAAGGTGGCTTCAGGTCCTGGGGTGGGAGGAAGGAAGAGAGGGGATCCCTGTGGACCCTGGCCGTCAAACCATGAGGAGGCTGGAAAACAACTTGGCCAGGGCACTGTCTCCAGGAGGCCCCAGTCCTGGTTCACCTGGGCTTCAGCAGGTTTGATCCTGGCTTCCAGGTTTTGTGTCAACACCTGCCCCTCACAAGCCTGAGTCAGCACTGACAGTAAAGGACACAAGCTGTGAACGGAATCCCTGTGTCCCCTGCAGGACAGTGGCACTAGCTGAGGTGGCCTCAGGAGGCCACGACACCAGAACAGCAGCATTTATTCTGTTAAAATGCACACATCAGATAATGCATCCTGTTAGGCAGATCTAAGTATGTGGACTCTTTGTTAGAATTTAACTCCCATTGGGCATCATGGTACGTGCCTGTAATCCTAGCACTCAGAAAGGCTGAGGCAGGAGGATTGCTTCGAGTTTGAGACCAGCCTGGGCTATATAGTGAGTTCAAGGCCATTCTGGATTACCCAAAATCAGAATATAGGGCCAGGGATTTAGCTCAGTGGTGCCGCCACCTGCCTCACAAGCACAAGGTCCTGAGTGCAATCCCTGGTACCAAAAAA